TGCGCGATTTTATCAAAAGCGGTATTTTTCCATATAGAAATCTCATCTAATATTCCCAAAAGTTCAATGTGGAAATTATATTTGTTAAGAAAATCCACTTCCAAACGTATTGCGGTCATTGTTTAGTTTGTTTTTGGCTCCTTTGAAAAACTGTAGAAGAGAGGCGAGATGAAGTAAGTTAAATAAAATGTGGTTTTGATTACTGAAGTTTTAATTTATATTAAAATCATTTCTGTTTTTTGCAGTGGTGTCACAATCGTCGCATCCCTCTGTAGAGCAGCTTAATGTTTTGATCGAGTTCCTGGCAGCTAATAGAGATTTAGCTAAAGGTTTCTCTAAGAACCTCAGTGCCAAATAAACCTATCATGGCTAGCTCCAACAAATGAGGCATCGACATGCAAAACATTGAGATCGGCATCAACAATCTGTAACAAAATATTTACAAAATTTAATTCCAGTCTTTTAATTTATCTTTACATAATCTTATTTATTTATATGTTCATGAATCATGACAAGTTTTAAGAAAGTAACAAATAGATGAAAATCAGTTAAAGGTGTAGGTACTTACTACTTGAACATTTCTTGCATGCTTACCTTTACGACAATAATACCGTTCTTCATTTTCTTTGGGTCGTATCATGGTGACAAAGATACCATCTATGCAAACAACTCCAGGTAATTGAAATTTCTCAAAAAAACTGTAACAAAGGTAAAGAATAGCTCATTTAATATTTACTTTACTAAAGAAACTGCCAATAAAAGTATTTTTTTATGATTTCATTACCTAAAATACTTTAAGACACGGGCTCATAGATTTTTTAGAATTCTGATATTGTTCCAGGATTGTAAAGTTATAAGAAACACTGGTCTACTTGATTTATAATATAATATTTAACTTATTGGTTATTCTAGTTAATCAGAGTTTACTTACTGTTCCTTTAACACTTGGTGTTGATGCATTTCGCAGAAATGTTCTATATTTTTACGATGTCTGGATGACTTAAAATTGAGGCAATTTCATTTATACTTCTTGACATTAATATTAAGCACAAGGCAATAGAGTGAGATCTCAAAAAATAGGTGGACATGAGTTTTTGAATTATTAAATAAACAATGAGACCTACATTAAAAATACTTACTTTAAAAGATCTTCTATAAACAAAAATCGTAATTTATTAGCAAAGTTTGTTTGATTGATTGCCATAGCTACACACTAAGTCACTTTGACATAACAATTCGAGTGCGGATCCGAAAGTGAGTGTAAAATTCGTTACAGAATGCCATTAAACTTCAAACCCTTGAGCATATTGTCAAGCTATATCCTGCGTTAGTTCATTTCACCGCCACTCTCACCTAGTAGCGCTAGCGTTGATTCTCACTTGACTACAGAATGCCAATGATAAAATCCGTAACGGATCCGCGTTCGAAAGTGAAATGTGTCTTTACAGAATGCCACTCAAGGAGCGTAATGCAAGAGCAGCGTTAAGGAACTTATATCAAATTTCATTACAGACTTGATATATTGACTCAAATATAACAATAATACAACGTAGCAATAATATTGCTTGATTATAGTTGTTTTTGATTTTAACTGTCTTTGCCAGAGGCCGGTGAAGTTTAATATCTAGATATTAGGTCCCACAGACGGATATTTTGGACCTTCATTGAATTGTAGCAGATTACGTTTTAAAATATATTCTCCAATTCTGTATTTGATAGACATTTTTTATTACTGAGTGTAAATCGAAAGAACCGAACTAGACACGATAGAGAAAGATACTAAAGAAATCAAAGTAGCAAAAAAATTTAAACGTTCTGCATATTTACTTTGTATAAATATTTTATCACAAATAACAGTTGTATTCATAGTTGGTGTAATTTATAATGTAGTAGCTTCACAATTGAACAGTGGCATTGCCTAGGATATAATTTTGGTGTTTTAAGCAAACACGTAGGTAGATAAAATTTATAACTGCTTTCTTTTTAATTTTCAATAAAATACATAGTACTCCATTTAATGGCCTTAATTACTTACATAATTGATATCAGTTACTAATCTCCATGAATCCTATATTGATAACAGACAGGTATAAAAGCGATAAATGTTTTAAATGACATTATATAAATAGGGTGATATATGAGTGACAATTTGTGTAGGAGACTAAATATTCTACGCGCACAAAATCATAAGCCCTATAATTACGTACTTATTAATTACCCCATATCACCTGGATCAGAAAGGGGTCAAACACTATTAGTATCCGTATCGACAATGAATTTGGATATGAGAACTGCTATACCAACACAAGCATGAAAACTACCCTCAAAGCTGCTTAGTGCGAAGCCGCGGGATCCCCGTTTAATAAGGATTCTTCCGCGTTTCCGCACCCAGCAGCCTCCCGACCTAGCCGAGGCTTGACGACGGTAGGGGTCTCCCGGGGTATTGCGAGGACCCCGCAGAAGGCCTCCGGTACCGTGAAACCGTGATATATAGGCCATAACAGGTTGAAGATCAGTACAATCAAACTACGTTCAGCTTTATGTTAACCACGCAATTATACCTACCTCGTACCTACCTATAACAGATATAGTCTCCGTGACCGACAGGATGGCTTGCGCGTCTGTCGGTCGGTTTATGATAGAGTCTGGCACAGAGGTCTTCTATCAAAGGTGCTATCCTATGAACTACCTGAAGGAATGGCCAAATGGATTACCACCTCCTCTTTCTCTCTCTTCTACCTACTAGGGCAGGCGTAATGAAGTTGTTCACGCAGGTACTGAACATTTTGTGAGGTATTTCTTCCGCGTAAAATTAATCCCAGGTGGAATTAGCTTCTTCTCAGAGCCCTCTTTCCCATTGGGCCCTTTGGGCAAGTGCCCAGGGCCCCGCGATCAAATACAAAGTACCTAGTTCCTGTTAAATCACCAAACGGGGGTCGTAGGGGCCCCATTATCCTAATATGCCCAGGGCCTCCCATAGGTCAAAGACGGCACTGCTTCTTATTGTGCCCCCTTGAAACAAATTCAGCACGGGCTCTATGTAGTTAATATCTTTGGCTCTTTCAAAAGAGGCGTGAAGAATAAACTTGACATATTCACAAAATAATAAGAGAAAATACAATATAGCGTTTAAGTGTCTCATGTATAAATCAGTAAAAGGATACATATGAATATGACGACCTCCGTGGCCGAGTGGTTTATACGCCGGGTTTCATGGCGTCGCCGACTCGAGAGGTCCCGGGTTCGAATCCCGGTGGGGGCAGATGTTTGTGTGATGAATACGAGCATTTGTACTCCAGTCATGGATGTTTAATATGTATTTCATATAAATATACTTATATATGTACAATATATGTATTCTATCCGTTACCCTGGTATCCCATAACACAAGCATTTACAGTGCTTACTTTGGGGCTAGGCTAATTGGTGTGAGTGTTGGAAATATTTATTTATTTATGAAACTATAGTATGGTGTCTTATGTTTGCAACATTTGAAGGTTAATTGAGACAACAACAATAAAAAAAGAAGGATTTAATTTTGTCATGTCGTAATTTTTGATCCTATATGAAGAAACACTGACTCAACTTTGTGTTAAAATTTCAATGTTAAATTAAAAAAAGTATAAAAAGATATGACTGATTGAAATTGAAAACTGTCTCATGTTGAATGCGCTGACGGTACGTTGTTTTAGTAGTCATATAAATAAAGCACGTATTTTTCTTTAATAAATAATATTATAGTTAACAAGCGACCGCCCGCGACTTCGTATGCGATAACTTTATTTTTTTTAAATCCCATGTATCGTAATCCAGGTCAAATTCTATATGCGTACCAAATTTCATCCAAATCCGTTAAGTAGTTTTTGCGTGATTGAATAATTGAATTGAGATTTTTAAGTCGGTTTTATTTTTTGTTTATTTTTTTTGATTTCATCCATTTTAATGAAAATCACATCGTCCAAGTCAGCAATAACACAATTGACGGAGAAATCGGTGAACATGCATAAAAAACATCGAGCATGCCTTTGAAATTTGAAGATTTCCCTCGATTTCCCCGGATCCCACCATCAAAAATTGACATTTTTCTACTAGGACGACCATTAGGACGACCTCGGAAGTGCACTCTTTCGAATAAAAAAAGAATTTTGGAAATCGGTCCACAATTGACGGAGAAATCGGTGAACATACATTAATAAAAATATACAGTGAAACACAGAATCTCCTCCTTTTTTGAAGTCGGAAGAAGTTGTTTAAAAATATGACTAGTTTCAGTAAATCTCTGTTGAAATGTATGTATCGAATGTTGCACACGAGCCCATATTCCGATGATAAATTTAATAAAAAGAGCACAAAGAAATAGATTTATAAACAAAAATGTGTTGATGAATTAATAAAACCTCTATTGAAAATCAGTATTTATATTGGTATATTTTATCTGTGCAAGTCGGTATATTTCAGTATTTTTTTGATGTGCTGCAGTATTTTCGTAAAATTTATTCTGATCTGAAAAAAGGAACAGGATTTTTTGGCAGGATTTCATAGAGTGCAGTTGGTGTCCTAAAATTATTCTTAAATTCGTTCAAGGGGTATAGGTGTCGATTCTGGCACGATTATCTAAACTTAAACCTAAATTTGACAAGAGTCTATCTTTGTCATTCTGAATACAGAATGAAAAGGAGAGACTAATCTTAAATTTTGTTTTAAGTTTACAAAATCGTGTTAGAATTGTGAAGATTATAGTGGAATCTTTAAAATATACGCTATTCCGGTCAAATGGACATGAGAACTTTATTGTAGTGTTGACTACCTTACAGAAGCTTATCGAAATAACCAACTCGAAACATTTCGTGCCAAACACTCCAAGAAACATTAGGATGCGTCACATCGACATTCCAATGTAAAGAAATAAACAAAGATTAATAAATCTTAAGACTAGGCTGTATGGACATTGTTCCCTTTACTTTCTCAGAAAAGGGAAAATTTCAAAAAGAGGAACATTTCGGTGATGACTGATTTGTTGTAATTTGAGTTTTTAAAATAAAACAAATTTATTTTGCTAATTAGCTCGATAGTTTATCAAGCTAATTTTTTGCTAATCTTCATAAATTTTATGATAAAGATTCTGAGTACCTAGTTGTTGATGTTTCATAGTATACATCTGTGTTATTATTAGGGTTAGAAAGCCAACATCATTTATTTATTAGACCTTAATATAAATCCTAAAGATGAATAATGAGAAAAGAAATGCCCGAGGGAGAGGTAGGGGCCGCGGTCGTGGCCGTGGCAGAGGCCGCGGCAGAGGTCGAGGCAAGAAAGTACTGAAAGTGATGTCCAGTGATGAAGAAGAATGTTCTGTGGAAGAATCTTTACAAGAAAACGAAGAGCCCGTCAACGAGGAGCCTCCGGTTAAAGAGGAAATTGAAGAACCCGAACCTCCGAAGTGTTAGTACCATACATTAATCCTTACCATTTCAATATAAGTCGAATTTGTTTAAACCTAATTGATCAAAAATTGGATTGTGAAAATATTGATATTATTTTTGTATGCATACAAAGCTGTGTTATCAATCAGAACATTGTCAATATTATCAGATAAAGTTGAAGCTATGTTATCTACTGTCAGTAGTAAAATAAAAAATTATAACCTTTAATGTTAATAATTCAAAATGTCCACAGTGGAAGTTCCATCAGATATATCCCAATTAGAGACTCCAGTATTCACTACACTACAAAGGGGTCCACCAGAACCCATGCTAAGATTAGACTGGAGCCATCGAGCTACACTCATTGGAGAGAAAGTACTGAATCCTATGATCTACTGTTGTGATATTTGCTCAAAGCCAATACTTATTTATGGCCGTATGGTAAGTTAAGCATATAATTAGATTTGAGATTAAAACAAGATGGGAAGATACTGTACACTCATACTAGCATCAAATAAAATATGCTCTAACTCAACTACATAAGTAACGCACACACACACACACTTCTGTGTGTGAGACAGAACTGGACTCGTCAATGTAGTCACAGTAATATTACCGTGATGTAGTGCAAGGGAAACAGTGAGTCTGTGTCGTTTGGCAGCCGAGCCGACTGCATTTTCCTTTCTCTTTCTCTACAAACGTCTGAGCTTTATTGTTGTCCTCAATAACAAATGGTGAATAAGTAAATAACATACAGGACAAACTGCAATGTTTGCGAATAAAATGTTTTTATAGTTTTATGAATGAAAAGTGTTGCTGTGGAATTTATTATTTGATCTTGAACTATTTTTGTTCTTTATAAAAGCAAGGAAGGCATTGTTTTACCTTTGTAACACAGAATATATGCATTATTGTTATATTGAGTACACATGCAGTGTTTAAATGTCAAATTGTGACCTAGAAAATTGTGTTCATGCACCACAATTTAAGCGGTACACTTTTAAACTGCGAGTGCCATGTTTGCCCTTTTTGTTTTAATCTAAGAATTAGATACATAAACGTTTTCATGGAATAAATCCATTAATTGTCATTGCATCAGAGAAAAGAGAGATAGGGCATAAATTGGAGCAGAAGCATCTTGGGAAGCATCCTCCAATTTACTGCAGACCACATTAAAATAACACAAAATTTTGATTAATTTAGCTTCTGACAGTGAGAAAAGACTGAGTTTCACCCTGTTTCAGCTGCCAAATCACATTTTGATATTCATTAGTATAAGATTTTATCTGGAAACAATGGTGACAGCCAGCCTATAGTATAATAACAGTTTTTTTTTTGTTAGAGCTTCCCGTGATCAGTGTACACCAAGCACAGAACATTTGTATGTCTTTAAAAAAATAGCATAAAATATTTAAATAATCCTCAAAAAAAGATAAATAATCACCTAAAAATACAATTGGTAACATAATGCTTAGATTAGTTTACCAATTGTATTTTTTTGGGGATCAATTGCTATTTTTGGATGATAATTTGAATTTTAAATATGAGCCATTAAAAAGCATTTCAAATTTGAAAATATTATTTATAGATTTATTTTCTCTCTTTCAGATACCATGCAAACATGTGTTTTGCCTTTCATGTGCAAGAGCTGATCACACACACTGCCCTAGGTGTAGAGAAAAGGTATCATATTGGAATAATGTAAATTGTATTACTGACATAGCAAACACTGAAGATAAGGAATAATTTATTTCAAAAACAAACTTCTAATGATTCTTGAAAATATATGTATACATATTATTTTTTTAGAACATATTACAGATACTAATAATTTTCATTTATTTAAACACATCAGGTCACTGAATATTTAATTAAAGGATTGTCTCACGCCAATGTGAATAGACTAAATACATTTTATGTTGTTTTGTTGTTTACATATTATGTTGTATTACAATGGATAATATACATTTGGCACTGTTATTAATTCTAATTAGATTTGTCTTCTTATTATAAAAATATTACGGCAAGTCTCTGATACGAATAAACAATTCAAATGTTAATTTAAAAGCAACTTTATCCATGAACAGATTTAACTGCTATTTACATAACTTGAATAAAATATAATGAAAAGAAATTTTTATTTTAGGTTTTAAGAGTGGAGCAAACTGGATTAGGTACAGTGTTTATGTGTACACATTCCGGTACTAGATATGGCAATACTGGATGCAGAAGAACATATTTATCTCAGGTAATATAATTTTTATTATGTACAGTTGTCAAGGTTTTATATTTTATAGAAGGAACAACCTTCATTAATTATAATATAACGGGAAGTTGTCTAGGCTGAAAAAATAAACAATTATGTATTAGCACAGCAATAATACTTAAGTGAATTATTTCAGCTATATCATGTACTAATTTAAATTACAAATTCTGAAGTATATGAAATTACCATATATGAATAATTTTTAACATAAATGTTTTCTAAACTGACAGAGAGATCTTCAGGCCCACATAAACCACAGACATGTCTCTTCTGCCAGTGAAACAAAACCAGAGCCGGAGCCAGCCACAAGTTCTGTGGCTGTAGTTAAACCATTATCGGTAAGTAGAATTTAAATTTAAATTTTAAAAATTGGAACTTTCTACAACTTCCTATAGTGATAGCCTTAAATATGATAAACTAAAAGTTTTTGCATATTATATTAAAATACCATCATGTTCTGTATGCAAAATTGCTGTCACAATACTGCGCTGCTTTTTTTTCAATATTTATGACTATGTGGGACCAATTCTCATTTGTTTATTATAAGATGTAACCCCTAGAAAATATGTTGTATTGTTGAGGCAGAGCTATTATGAATAGATGCTTTCACAGACAGACTCCCTCTGGGCTTGCTTTTTCTCTCGAGTCTATTATTGTGCAATAATAAAATGTAAGGTTGATGCCGATGATCAGCTAGGAACTAGTTACAACTTAGTGAGTATCCAGATGCGATTGAGGAGATCGATGACACAAGTGGTTAGCATGTTCGGCTGCGATCGTTGAAGTTAAGCAAGTTTCGCAGTGGTCATTCATTGGATGGGTGACCATAACTTTACTATCTCGAGCTCCTCCATACTTCGGAAGGCACGTTAAGCCGTTGGTCCCGGCTGCATCTGCCGTCGTTAGAACCCACCGACTGTGTCTGTGCTTTAGCTGTGAGACCAGAACAGGCTGATCATTTGTATCCAGCGTCAGTGTAGTGCAAACTGGCACAATGCGGCACAGGACCCTTTTTGGTATAGCTGTGGACACAGATTTAGTACCTACTTCGTATAGTGATTTATTATATTGTAGGTTGACTGTTCCTTATTGTCCTTCGGTACAAGGCTTCGAATACACAAGTGGCTCGTAGCCGACGGCAGCCGTTGTCACCTTTTGACGACTCTGCCGTCGATGAGTCGACAGCAGCCGTCGTAAGGTAGCTGCAGTTGCCGCTCGTGTATATGAACCCTATCTGTCTGTATCATCGATTTAGAAACGATATGGAAGCATTACTCCCTAACATAAGCCGCTAAAACATGGTTCCAAACTCATAAAACTATACTCTAATACTAACATGGCAAGCACACAGACAACAAACAACTTTGACTAATGAAATGAATCTGCATATGAATTCGGCTATCCATTCATTGGGTAAGATAATGATAAACGGAAATCCCAACCAATCCTATGATAGGCTTGTTGATCGCATTTTTTTCGCCCCGCCCACTTGATCGCAGTTTGCGTGAACCACTTTTTGGCGCAGTTCGTATTCCATCTTATTTCTAAAGCTGGTTTAATCATTACGCGTTTCGAGAGCGTCGTTGGAGCGCGCGCCCTCGGAGATGCATGGGGTCAGTAGTAGTTTTTCAAAGTCGCGCGCTTGAGCAGCGCCTTGCCGTGAACGCGGTAAACGCTGTTTGAACAGCTCGCTGCCCTACAGCGCGTCTAGTGGCGTGACTACAAAACCAGCCTAATTCGTTGACTTAAAACATTTTTCTGTAGCCAATATGTAAATGTTCTCATGAGGAGCTCGATGGCGCAAGTGGTTAGCGCGTTCGGCTGCAAACGTTGAAGTTAAGCAACTTTCGCAGTGGTCGGTCATTAGATGGGTGACCAAAAATTTACTATCTCGAGTTCCTCCGTGCTTCGGAAGGCACTTTAAGCCGTTGGTCCCGGTTGCATATGCAGTCGTTAACACTCGCCAATCTGCACTGGGCCCGCGTGGTGGGTCATGGCCCAATCTCCCTATTCCATCCATAGGGAAAGCCTGTGCCTCAGCAGTGGGAATATTAATAGGCTGATGATGATGAAATGTTCTCAATTGATTTTGATTTGATCCGGTATGTAATGGGTATGATCGTTCGGTCCGCATAGATTGCAGGCGCGGGCGATCCTCGCGCTACGGGCGCAGGGGCCGTGACGGTCGCAGGGCCGGGGGCGGGGGGCGACAGGACGCGCACTCCCCGGACCAACCTGATCACCGTGCCCATACACGACCAGCCAGACCACAACTACTACAATTACTACCCGGTAACGACACTTTGGGTCCGCATAGATCGCAGGCGCGGGGGGTGACAGGACGCGCACTCCCCGGACCAACCTGATCACCGTGCCCATACACGACCAGCCAGACCACAACTACTACAATTACTACCCGGTAACGACACTTTGGGTCCGCATAGATCGCAGGCGCGGGGGGCGACAGGACGCGCACTCCCCGGACCAACCTGATCACCGTGCCCATACACGACCAGCCAGACCACAACTACTACAATTACTACCCGGTAACGACACTTTGGGTCCGCATAGATCGCAGGCGCGGGGGGCGACAGGACGCGCACTCCCCGGACCAACCTGATCACCGTGCCCATACACGACCAGCCAGACCACAACTACTACAATTACTACCCGGTAACGACACTTTGGGTCCGCATAGATCGCAGGCGCGGGGGGCGACAGGACGCGCACTCCCCAGACCAACCTGATCACCGTGCCCATACACGACCAGCCAGACCACAACTACTACAATTACTACCCGGTAACGACACGTTGGGTCCGCATAGATCGCAGGCGCGGGGGGCGACAGGACGCGCACTCCCCAGACCAACCTGATCACCGTGCCCATACACGACCAGCCAGACCACAACTACTACAATTACTACCCGGTAACGACACGTTGGGTCCGCATAGATCGCAGGCGCGGGGGGCGACAGGACGCGCACTCCCCGGACCAACCTGATCACCGTGCCCATACACGACCAGCCAGACCACAACTACTACAATTACTACCCGGTAACGACACGACACGCACATATTCCTTTTTGTTGCGTATCAGAAAGATCTTTTTTCGTTCTCTTAGATTTATTTGCAATCAGCTCCAAGCTTTAAGCAAATGCGTTGAATATAGTGTTTTATCAAACAATGAGTGTGCCCTCCAGTGAGAGCATCTACTCTTTACTGGTTGCCCCTAAAGAGCCAAGATATCTTTCCGCATTTGGCGTTTTAAATAACTTCAGCTTATTAAGTTGGCTGCCACTTCGTTCGGGTAACTTTTCAGCCTTGGTTGGTATTTCATTTTGATATTTTGGTTGGACATTAATAACAAGTCAGAAGAAGAAGATTTTGCTGGCAACCAGCAAAAACTGCGGTTATATGATCATTTTAATAAAGTAATAATTTAAAATAATTGTAAAACAGGTTTTGCGTCACAGAGGTATGCATTGTATAATTTGTCAAATTTTAAAGATAAAATATATTAAACTACTAAATTCAAGGCCTTAATCATCATAATATGAAAAAATGACCATTTTGTTCTTTGTTTATATATTATCATGGCTATTATCTAAGTTAAAGTTTATAAAAATTTGTAACAAATATTTTTTATTAAAATATCCAAGTATAAAATTTCTTCGTTTTACGTCAATGATTTTTAATTGTGTGAACAATATACTAATTTTGATTTGATAAGGTTTACCCACTTTTTTAACTTGGTATTTTACGCATGTGCACCGAGACAAAAATAATGACATTTCGCGAGTGTAAGATACCAGATTCGCGTGTTTTGTTTTGCGTGTCACGCACACAAGTACATCAAACCTGCGGCCTGACCGCCTAAGTCAAAGCGAGAGCAATACGAAAGTTGACAGCCATAACTTTTTCAAACTCTGTCTGCGATAAAATCGAAACGCCTAAAATTCACGACGTGTCGTAATGCTTATGGTTATCAAATGCTTACGTGAGTGAACGATTCAATTGCGTTATGTTCATGTATTTTTTTACAAAATTCTTTTCATTTTATAGTTGACTGAAATACATTAATATTTAATTTACAAATGTATATTATCATAGGGTGGCATAAATATTAATATTTAATAATTAGTCTTACAAAATTATTCTTAAATCAAAGACATAAGAAAATTTTAATTGGGTACCATAAATTGCACAAACAAAACGCTATGTCTGTTACATCTGCCTACGTTCTAAACTTACTTATGCTCTGGGTGCATTTTTTTTACCCTGATTTATCAATTTTGACATAAAATGTATTAAATAAAACAAGTTTCAACGGGTTAGATGCACTGATTTTATTTATTTATCAAACCTAAGAAACAAATACATAAAATGTATGTCAAAATATACATTGTTCGTACCTGAAGCATATGTTCTGAACGTATGCCATAACTGCTGTCAGGACTTCACTTGGCTATTCGTGTTTGCTGTTTGTTAATTTGACCGCAGTCTGTCCTTATCATGCTTTATAAAGAATGAAAAGGACAAGCTGATGTCAAGTATACATATAACAAACTCGAAACTATTGAGCATACGTCGCATAGAAATTAGAAATCTGATAACTTTTAGAAAGAAAGTATCACATCGAAGAAACTTGACTAAGTAAGTACTTTTTGAGTAAACAAAAATAATTCAAGAAATTTAATAACTTTACTTTATCACGAAGATCATGTTAATTTTGTCGAAGATAATCGCATTTTCGTCATTATAATTTAGTACTTATTTAACATTTTAGAAACCGGCACCATATTAAGTCTACAACTCCAACGTACAGTTGGAGGCCTTACTAATATGGATGGAGGAGCACCCATTCCAGGCTAGAGGGATGCAAATTGCAGCCCCGCACAGGCCAAACAGGCTTCGATGGGCCTATGGAAGAGTTTAGCGTCCCTCCTAAACGCAATTAATGATGTTACTAAAACACCAAAGGAGTGGTGATTTAAAGTAAGTGGTACTTTACTATTATTTTGTATAAAGTTTATAAGGCATCTTGTTATGTGTTCTGTATTTGTACTATTGCATGGAATTCAATTACTAATTTGAAAATGGTAACTCCCCATACATAAGGTGCTGTTAAAAGCTTAACAATTTTTTTTTCTATTTGGCTGAGCCTGGCTTATGATCAATCAATGTTATTTTATTCACCTACTTAATAACATTGTAAGTTCAATTATGTTGCCTTATCTGTTTTAATTAAGCATCCATCCTATGGAAAGTACCAAGAGTAAAGTGTTACCTATAAAAACCTTTGGAGGTCTATATCTTTACCATTGATTAATTTCATGTAACATAGTAGGACTCATAGACTCATTTGTAAAGAATAATAACATACCACTTAATAAGTTTCAAAAACTGGAAAATACAAACAATCCCTTTTTAAAAAAAAACGCTGGTAATTTGTTTCAGCTGTATTGGATTTTTGAGCTGGAAAACTGCCGGCTTTGCGACAGTCAACTGCATGGGGAAAATTTGAGGAGCGGCGACTGGAGGAACAGCAATTGCGGAGGGACGTGCTCCGAGCATTGAGAGATATTACTCATGTATTATGTTGGTTCTATAAGACTGTAACTCATGGAAATAAATAATGTGCATTTGTATCTGAAGTTGTTTATGGTAATCTTTTTACTAAAATATAACAGCAATACTACTGAATGTTTTATTTACTGAATATTATTATCGTAAGCTCCCTCCTCAACTTTATCACCTTGCAACCTTTTTCTAGGTCATGGTCTCACAGCTGTTGTTCATTGAGTAAAAAAGTAGAATAAAAATCTATTAAGAGTTAATAGCTAATAGGTGTTATTAAATTAGTAGGTCTTTGGAGACATACTGGCTGGTTTCTGAATAGCGGTGTGACCACAGTTACAAGGTCTACCATGCTTCTCAACAATAGGGTAGTCAGGAAATGAAATTATTTCTTTAAAGTTGATTAGTACCTACTAAAAAGTTTGAAACAGTTTTGAAATGAAATCATTTATTTATTTAGAGTCTATATTCAGAGTTAACATTGTTTATATAAAAATAAATTGTTGTGTTCATTTTAATACTCTTTTAACTCTGTGCGCCTTTTGACAAAGGCCTCCTTAAACTTTTTCCAGTTTTTGCTCTCCAAGCCAGCTTTGTCCAAGGGGTTTCCCTTTTATTTCTCAAATGAATAAATTCAATTTGTACCCAATTAGTAACTTGCTAATAGAAAGTAAATTTAGAATATTTGAACACTAACATAAGAAATAAATTTTATTGTTATGAATATTTAACAACAACTTATAAAATTACAGTTATATAAATCAAATTAAACTAGAGTATTAATAATAACTAGTTTCTCATTTAAAGTTAGTACATATTCAAAAGTTGTATTTAAATAAAACAAATTTGAAATGAAATCATATTTTATTCAAATTAAGTTATTGAGAGCTCTTTAATCATCCTACATTTTTTTCCTACTACCACACAGGACATCTTCTAGCTGGTGAGAAGAATGGGCGCAAGAAACTCATCAGCATTTAACATTTACATCAAATGATGTAGCTACCAATACATACAGGAAGATATAAAAATGACATGTTAAATTTAGACATTAAACTTAGGTGCTAATTAATAATTAATTAGTATAATAAAAATAAAACACAATAAATTGTAAACTAAACTTATAATACCTATTTTATCTTGTATGGTGCCTCTGCTCACAGATCCTTCTTCACACAAGTTTCTGTAAACAGTTTTAAATGGTCAATTATGGTTATGACTACTCCAGAGTAACTGACTGTCTTGCAGGACAGATGCCACGGACAGGCCTGTCTCCACTTGTGGCAAGTATGTCACGCTGTGGTTGGCGGACATGATCACACGCATGACATCCTCATCAATCTTGATACATTAGTCGCAAATAAGGTTGTGTAAAACAACACATGCATTTAAGATTTTCCCTGCTTTCTGATTTGGGTCTTGAAGATGCCAAAGCATCTTTCTATGACATTCCTAGTCCGCACATGTGAATTTGTGTAGTGATCCTCTGGTCTCCCTGGGTCAGCATGGAGGATTGGCGTCATCATCCATGCCCTTCGGGCATAGCCAGAGTCATCTGTAAAATAAATATTGTAAAACTAACACTGAAAAATACTAACATACAAAAACACTTATTTTGTATGAAAATATTCAAATAAAATGATAACAAATGATTTTTAATACACATACCCAAGAACCAGTAGATCTGTCCAATATCATGGAGTCTTTCAATTCCATTTTTCACAGGGCAACAATTCCAAACATGAGAGTCATGACTTGCACCACCAAATGATGCATCCATATGCAAAATATGTAAGTCTGCATCACACATCTGTAACAAGAGTATAATATTAAGGTTTAAACAACTATTTTATTTCATATGAGTATCACATTCCAAGAAATTATTTTTGAAAAGTTATGGTATAAATGCTTTTGGTATAGTACCTACCTTTGTGTAAAGTGTTATTTTATTAAACTAAATTTTGTTGGTATGAAGTGATTCCTAATATAATATAATTCATTTAACACAAAATTTGTTAAGAGACAATTGATTAAAAAATAAGTTGCTTCATATATTTACTGTTTTATAAATAAATGTAGAGTATTTGATTGTTAAAAGGTTTTATTATAATTCAATAGACCACATTTATTCAAAAATATAGAAATAATATGTGATTCTGTAATCATGTAAGCATTTGGAAGAGATTTAGGAAGCGGTTTTAATGTAATTATTACTTACCGCAAGCACATTAAGCACAGGGAGAGGTACATTTTCCTGTTAAAATATGCTTCTTCATAGTCTTTAGGTCGTTCTGTGCGTCGGATGCAAAAACGGCATCAAGTCGTCGCAAAGAGTAAGGAAATTATCCTTACTCAGGCGGAACGTTTGGACAAACGTTCGCTCCGGCAGCAACATAGGCATGCTGTCCTCCCGCAACTGTCTTCTTCGCAAGGTCAGCATTGTCTTCTGGCTCTCCTCCTCAGCTACCACCAACAGAAATATTCGAGCCATTTCTCACTAAAACAGAATAAAAACTACAAGAGTACACAATCTTAGGTTAACAAAAGACAAAAGTAGCTATATTTTAATTTTATAAAGCAAAATAAATTGAATTATAAATATCGTATGAAAGCATGAGATGAAAACAGTGAGTCTATAGGTGTCTGCTTATCTGACAGCTTTAACGCTTACCCGCCATCTTGAAATCGCTTTCACTTTTTTTAGGCGTTTCGATTTCCTGTCAAAATAGTAGCGAGAAATTGAACGATGTCATTCAAAATTGTTAATGGCTGTCATCGGCCGCAAAGTAAATGTGAAAGCGTTATGGCTTTCATAGGCGTTTCCAAATGACAGTGTGACGTCATAAACTTTAGCATTTTTAAAGCAACGCGAGTTAGGCGATCAGGGGCCTGGTCTGTTTTTATTAGTGTTTACTAGGTGACGCTCTATCTACAGTGAATAATCAAAGCCTAGCATCCCATAACACAAGCCTTATTTTGCTTACTTATGGGCTAGGCCAATGAACACAGATAGAGGTTAGAAGGGAGTTCATAAACCGTTTGTACGGGAACCGATGTCGCCGGCTACTAGCCAATCAAACGACGCGGTATCAAACTCACACCCAAAAACAACGAAGCAATCAGAACTAAGTTTTGGTCAAGTTATGAGCATTTACTCACACATAACTGTGGCGCGTCTGCCCCGCCCACAAGGCCCTTCTAACCTCTTTCTGTGTTCAGTGCTTAGATTAAAACAAAAAGGGAAGATACGGCGCTCGCGCATCAGAAGTGATCCGCTTAAATTGTGGTGCATGACCACAATTAGCTTCAGTCACAATTTGACATTTAAACATGGTGCATGTGCACTCAATATAATAATATTGCGTATATTCGGTGTTATAAAGATGAACAATGCCTTCGATGATTTTTTAAACACAAATAGTTCAAAATCGAATAACTAATTTCACGGCAACCCTTTTCATTCGTAAAACTATGAAAACATTATTTTTCTCAAATGTCACGGTTTCTCAAGAATGTTATTTACTTTTTCGCCATTTGTTATCAAGAAAAGGACAACAAAACAGCTCAGCCGTCTGTAGAGAGAAAAAAGAAAACGCAGTCGCCAAGCCAAGCGACGCGTACCTACTCGCCGTTTCGCTCGCGCTGCATTAAAGCGTACAGTTCTGTCTCGCTCGCTCGATTGTATGTTTGCTTACAGAAGTGTGCGTGCGTGAAAGTTGTTTATGTAGTTGATTCTGAGCATATTTTATTTGATGCTAGTATGAGCATACCGTATATTCCCTTTTTGTTTAATCCAAGGTTCTGTGGGCTAGGCTAATTGGTATGAGTGTGGAAAATATTATTACTTATTGTGTTAGCCTATGACAATAAGGTGTATTGTATTTAAGATGTAATTGTCTAGTTACTGTATGACACAGCAATCAAAATGCAGGTGAACAATTAATGTATAATTTCATATTTTCTAATGAAAGGTGACTTCATGAATCATCTCTGAAGTCATTTTTTAACTTGACGACTCTGTAAATAATAAAACAGGGAGAGAAAACAGCCCTTGCTGAGTTTCTTGCCGGGTCTCCCGCCGTAGATTTACGAACCCATGGCGTAGCTTCTAGACATTCATGAGTGCTTGTAACAGCCTAAACTGAATAAATGATTATGATTATTATGTTTGTGGTGAGCAGCCGTCAGTAGGCGCAGTGGTGGCCCACAACATGTCGGTACCGCCGCCATACTACGCGCCGCCTTACAACGCGCCGCCCGCCACCTACGTGCCGCCGCCCAGTATGTACCAACCTTAATATTATAACATTTAAGACACAATTACACTTGGCCGTTAGCCTGAATACGATTGTCTATGGAGTAGGCTATTTGACAGTATGAAAAATAAAGTACCAATTGTTGGCATCTGTATTTAATATGAATTTTAGCAGCTATTTTACTATTTTGAGGGAGAAATGGTCAAGAAATCTGCAAGATTCGGCCACTAGGGGCGCTGTAATCGCTTGACCCAAAACGATTCCATCCTATTTCAATACATACCTATTAGCTTATATTCATTTTTAACCTTTTTATTAAACAAATTACAAATGCCGCGTTGTGCAGCAGTTCCTGGTTGTTGTGAGAACGGAAGGCACAAATTTCCAAAAGACCGGAAAGTTAGAAAATTGTGGGAACTAGCAATAAAAAGGAAAAATTTCAAGGCTAATGACAAGTCGAGGTTATGTCAAGGACAACCTGCTTTCAAAATAACTTTACGAGATTTCACTTTTAATCGGACCGTCCGTCTAGGGTAGTAACCTCAACCTTACAGAAGATCACAGTAAAATAACACTACCTTTTCGTGGGTTGTGTTTCTGTCGGTAAGGTTTCAGGGCTCCGCAGGGTAGAGGAATGAGTTAGGGTAGGCAACTGTGCGAGTGATATTTTTGGAACCACAAGGGTCTAAGCTCTCTAGCTTAGACGGCCACTCTGGCCGCTTACCATCAGACGGGCCGTATGCTTGTATGCCATCCTTTTTATGGCACAATTACTCTTGGTCGCTTGCCCGAAGACGATGGCCTATGGAATAGTGTATTTGACAAGTTTTAGAAAACGATCTCACATTATTGACTAATGTTTATGTAGTCCGTAAAAAGGATATTCATCATTCTGTTGTGTATTTCATTAAAAATAACCAAATCAATATCTCCATTTTCAAGTTGCCGCGAAAACGTTTCTCTGGACAATATGGCGTCTTACTAGTGTGTGACGTCACACGACTGTTATTAAAACTTCAAACGATACAATGTAATGTCACTTTAACTAAGTTTACTTGCGTGTGACGTCATTTTAGGCTCCGCCAATCCCAAGCGTTTTGGGTCACGTGACAATAGATAAGAAAACTATTATCTTTTTCGTGGGTTTTTAGTAAAATGATGAAAAATTTTTGTAAAAATAGTAAAAACCCCTGCCAATATTCATTCTAAACACAGATGCCAACAATTGGCACGTTATTTTTAATACTGACAAATACCCTATTGGTGAGAGTGCTAGAATTGTTTATATTTGTGTGGCAGACACCAACGTGAGCGGAGTATCACTGCCGCCTAATGAGGGCGCGCGCTGGGCGGAGTACGCGCCTGCTCAAGCACCGCCCGCCCCGCCCGCGCCCTGGGGCCAGCAGCCCTCGCACCATTACTACAGATAGGACTGCAATACTAGCACGCGCTACCAATGGCAGACAGCAACGTGAGCGGAATGTCACTGCCGCCCAATGAGGGCATGCAGCTCGCGCACCAGTACTACAGATAGGACTGCAATACTAGCACGCGCCACCAATGGCAGACAGCAACGTGAGCGGGTTATCACTGCCGCCCAATGAGGGCCCGCGCTTTCGGGCCAGCAGCTCTCGCACCATTACTACAGATAGGACTGCGGTGATGTGTGACATTTCAGTATTGTTATTAGCCCGCCCGATGCGGTGCCGCCTCCGCACTACTGCGTGTACGCATATTGATTAATGAATTATTATTCATAAATCAATAACCCTGCCTAGCCTATTATTAATAAATGTAAACTTTGCTTGAACTAGTTATGTCGTGTTTGTTGACACTTAAATGATACGTGTAATTTGGTAGAGACAAAAGACTGCGCAACTAATTCAAGCATAATTAAATAAGAGGGATAATATGTAAAACACAACTATCCTGATTATATTTTGTAAAGGCTACAAAATAGGATCTAATTCCATTGACTGTATTTTGCAAAGTCGAATATTATGGAAAATAAAACTATTATATTGATGACTGAAGTAATGTCTCAAATTTTTTTCTGAAAATTGCACTGCAAATATCGCACTTATAGCAACAGAGGCGCTGTCAGTAGCAATCTGGGTCCAACAAAGCAGTTTTAACTTTTCATGAGTCTACTCCACTGACAAAAGATACTGTAACCTTTTTTCCATTTCCTGCTTTGAAAATGCATTGTTTTAGATATTGGTATAGAATTGCTACCTGGTTTTGTCTATATTGCTTACCAACTCGAATAATGACTAAATTATGTGTAAGCACTAATATGTTCTAATGATGAAATCGGTAGCCTCTTTCAAATTCGAATTGACTTTTCCATTAAGTTTAATAATAACAAAGACGAAAAATCTTCGCCTAAATTGTGTAAATAAGCTTTTATTATTATGTTTATTTCTGTAACTAGGAAATAGATATTGCAATAAGAGAATTTAAAATAAATTTTTGTATTAAATAATAGTTACAAAACATAATTATCTTTTATTTTTTTATATATCTAACAATAATGTTGACAAGTATCGGTCACCATTGAACTAATAAATATTGTTAACAATATCAACATCAGTATGGAGAGACAGAAATAACTGATTTAATAAGTAATTGGGTATTATTTATTATCACTAATTAATATTAATAATATTTACAAATCTCTGTTCATTCATTCCTCCCACCCAAACACACCATCAACAAATGCATAGTGCAAAATATTTGCATTTAGACAATATTTTTACCAGACAATAATGACAAAACAAGTACTATTTGTATTGATGATTCACAGCGCCACTGTAGAAACATGTATCAGTAAAACTGTGTACAAATCAAATATAAAGAAATTCGTTATGAAACCAATATATCCTATTTTTACTTCTGTTGTGTAATATATCAAAGATTCTTTGATGATCTGCCATTTATTCCAAGAAATTTGTCTCAAAACCAAGGACTGAATCAAGATTCGTACCCTAATTGGATTAATTGAGCCAAGTTTAAATAGCATATTTTTGGAATATAAATGCATGATAGAGTATTTTCAAAGATATGAATGTTGCAAAAAGCAATGAGCTAATGTGCAAACAAAAAATATCTTGGAAACCTGCATCTAGATTACTAGTACTCTAGCTTACAAATAATTATTTATAGTCAGAGAGCCAGCTGGTTTAAAGTCCTATGGATCAGATACATGAATCATTTTTGGGGTATGAACAAACAGTCTAGAGGTCGACACCCCTGAAGTTGCTTGATTTTGCCCGCATGCAAAATTATGACGTCACTTCCGGTGTTTATTTTAGGTGTAATTGTAATTTATGAAATATATTTTTAATGGTGGTTGACTCAGGGTAGCGAATAAATAGAGTTTGTCGACCCTTGACCCGCCAATCCGCACTGGGCCCGCGTGGTGGGTCATGGCCCAATCTACCTATTCCATGAATAAAGAAGGCCTGTGCCCCAGCAGTATACATTAATAGGCTGATGATGATGGCCCTTGACATTTCTATTCTATTCATCAAAAACTTATGTTTGACATAAGTTTTCTTAATGTATTTCATAAATTACAATTACACCTAAAATAAAAACCGGAAGTGACGTCAATTTTGCATGCGGGCAAAATCAAGCAGCTTCAGGTGTGTCGACCTCTAGATCTATAGCTTTATTGTTCAAAAAATGATTCATGTATCTGATCCATAGGACTTTTATACAGCCGGCTCTCGGACTATTAGCTATATTAAGATATTATCATATTAAAGAAGATAATTGCTTACATCAAGTCAACACTTCCAAGGAATTAAAATTGATTCAGTCTTAACTTTTGATTGATGTATTGCATACCTTATTTTCATTAAGTTTAGGGAAACCATGAACCTCCCTATAAACATACCTACAGGTTTTTTTCCAAGCAATTGCACTAATTTTCAATATTCACATATCAACACAAGATTGATTAAAACTTATACAATTGCAAGTCAGCATATTTTCCAAAATATAACTGAAAATGTTACACAGCCACATCCCTAGTCATATATCCATATTCCACCTTGGTTCTGTGAACAGCATTACATTTTTGAAGAAGAAATTATTTCTGTAAAGATCATGACTGTTTAGTAGTTGATGGTAGCACTGGATCTGTGCCAATGTCCACTAATGTGGCTTCTGTGGGTGCTGGCGGTGGTCCTTGACTTGTGGTTTCTGTCGATGGGAACTGTGGGATAACATGTGATTGCTGCATCTTTCTCACAGTATCCATATTCACTTTGGTAGATAAATTCTTTTGTCTCGTCTGTTCAGAAGTCTTGGATAATCTCTCACTCAATGCTTTGAGTGCGATTTGTCTGAAAGTAGTAGGTTTTTAAAATATTAGGGTTTACACATATTGAAGTTTGTTTGATAAAATATATTAGATATAAAGTTATTTCATTAAAATGTATTTATAAATCATAACAACAGTGGAAAAGCTTATATGCCACTCGTGCGCTGCTTAAAAATTAACATTGAATAAAAACTGTACTAAGGTTAATTTTTAAGCAACACCAAAGTGGCATAGAATCAATTTTGTTTTTCTACTGTTGATATGTATTGCAGTACAATAAATTACAAAAACAATCTAATTTGTGGACATACTTTACATGAAACTGTAAAAAAGAACACAAGGAGCATAACCCATTATAACTGTGGTCTTACCTTCTTCTTTCCATGTCCTGGGGTTCCACACCAGGCATAGAAATGGTGACACCTCTAGGACTAAGAGCTAAATGCACTCGACGGGGATTTGGAGAGCACAGGCCCAATCTTACTAGACACCTGTGAGGTGGACCAAGGATGCCCCGCACCACTGGTTGCAATACCGTTGGAAAAAAGCTGCAATATTTCATGTACATGTTTAACATACGGAGCCATACCACATAAATGTTGGTCAGGCATTAAACACAAGCTTAAAAAGAAAATGTCATAAATTTGTTTACACCCACTTTAAAACAGCCTTTCTTCATTGGGGTATAAATAATAAAGTTCTATGTAGTGAACAAGACAATTGTATAAGTATTTAGTAAACATAGGTAATTAAAATTTATTGTTAATAGCAACAAAATTACAAGTTTTACAATGAAAAATAACATACTTATCAAAACTGAAGTTATCTGCCATATCTCCTCGACTTCCACTACTATGTTTCTGCCAAAATCGTAGATATATCCATGACAAGATTGTTCCACTGCCCCACATACAAGGATAAGTGCCTTCTAGAGCTCCAATAGCCCAAAGAATAATTGCTGCTATGAGAATTAACAGTGGTAAGGACCTGTTAGTAAGTTTTCCTGAAAGAGAAAACATTATGTATAGTAAATATTTAACTTCGTCACAGCAGTTCAGTCACATATAAACAACTTACCCAGAGGTGTTTTTATTAACAAGTGATCAGGTAATATCTGCTTCACAGCAACACAGACAGCAGCTAAGTATCCGGCCAGACCGTGCACATGTATGTCGAATAAATAAGATGCTTGTCCCGTACATGCAAATATTACTAAGTAATAAAAGGTCGTTAAAAATGCAACCCCAATATTTGTCAATAGGAAAAATTTCATCATTTCCATTTGCCCCCATAATGGCTCTATCAATTTTCCACATAATCCCACTGTTATAATATCGATGACCACCTCCCACAAATGTATTTCAAGAAACCAGAACGTGAAAGTAGACCACAATTGAAAAGAAGGTGGTAACAAATAACCAGGAGTCACACTAAGAACGTCAATTACATCATCAGAAAACGATAAAACGTAACCAATAACCACTACTACACAAATAAATTTCACTGAAGGTGATGTGTTTCCTAACAATGCAGAAAATTGCTGTCGTAAATATGGTAAATTACGGCTAAATACTCTTAGCGCAGCCATTTTATTGACGGATGAACTACATTTGACAGCAAATAGAAATTGACAGCTGAATGTCAAGAGAATTGTTTTTTATTTGTTTTTGATATTCATCATGTTAAAAGCAAACGACTATTTTATATTTCACAGATTTTTTAAGTAAGTATCTCCATAAATTATCAAGCTCAAGCTGTTTTTGCCTGTAACTTACCTCTTTTAATTTACACACACCAAAGTAAGCCAAATAAGTGAGTTCCAAGGCAACAACTATCGGTATCTATTATTTAAGGAGGATAAATAAAATTCCTTAGTCCATAAGTATTTTTGTTTATTCCGCTCAGCTCGTTATGACATCAATATGTCCCTTGCATTCATTATGAAGCATGATAAGGACAGACTGTTGTCAAGCTTACAAATAGAAAATATGAATAGCCAGGTGAAGTGCCTGCATTAAGTTTGGAATTAAACAATGGTGTCGATTCTGGCGTGATTCTCTAAACTTAAAACTAAATTTAACATCAGTCTCTCCTTTTCATTCTGTATAGACAATAACAAGGATGCACTGTTGTCAAATTTAAGTTAAGCTTTACAGAATCATGCCAGAATCGACATCAATTTAGACTCAGACGGGAAATTAGTGTATGCTTTCCAATTACAGAGCATAATGCGACTCAGTGCCGCACAATGCCCAATTATGCTGATGCTTAATTGGAACGTGAATTAGTTTTCAAATGCTCCAGCAGAGTGCGCTAAGTTCAGTGTTGAAAAAAAAAAGTCAATGTTTGTACCTTCATCCATACTTATGTTTCTTTTTTAACAGTTTGAATGAACTTTGATTATACAAAAAAAACTATTTAATGAAACGAAAGCTTTAATAATTTTTCAACAATAAATAATATTACTAACGATAACATATAAATAAAACATTTCGATCAATGCCAACTTAAAGAAAAAACTTGTTAATTTTCTGTCTCTAAGTTGGTACCATTGCACGCATCACACGAAAACATCACTTTTGAGAGTGCTCAATAGGCTAGTTTACTCATGTCGAATTGTATTAAATAAATGTTTATTTCTTAAAGTATTTAGTCTAAGGAACCTTAATATATCGATTTCACTTCATAAAAGCAGAAGATTGCTGTAGAAATTTAATTTAAAAAAATATTTTTTAGTCTATATTTTTTAAACACTAAAAACGCTGTTCGCCACATCCGCCATGATTTTGACGTCTCTTGTGGTAAACAACTAAATGTCATTCGCGTGTTACTGTAGGTTGATTCTTTCGTCTGACTAAATTTATCTTAAAACACTTTTAACTTTAGGAAAGAAAAAAACAGTAAACTTAGTTTTTTTTGACAAAACTAATTATGGATGCCGGCTTTGTAAAAGCAGAAAGCACAATTGACGCATTGATGGTTGATGAATTTGTTGCACTAAACCCCGATTTCTGCTCTGCGGAGCAGAGAAACGACAAGGCATCTATGTAAATATAGTGCATTTAGTATTACAATGTAGTAATAAACATAAAACTGATACAACATATGAATAAGTGTAATAAATTTTTATTATTTTTAAAGCATGTAACTGCTTGATGTTTAAATCTAAAGAAAATATAACTAGAAAAAATTCCACGCGGACCAGGCAGCTGCCTGGTCCGCGTGGAATTTTTTCTAGTTATATTTTCTTTAGATTTAAAGTGTAATAAAGTTGCGTAGGTTAATTTCTTTCGGCACTTTAATCCACAACTTTCCTGGAGTCTTCAAGGATGTGTTTTTATATTCTCGTACAATACAGTAATGATAATTACTTTATTTATCGTGGTATTTATTAGAAATCATGTTTTTTTTTATTATAAACTCAGTTAAAAGTAATTTTCTACGTGTTTACGAGTTTTTGTTTACCACAGTTCACGTCATAGCATAGATAATCTATAGACTAAAATGGCCGACAGCGTTTTTGTATGTCCATGAAAAGTCTATTTTAAAATTAAAGATTTGTAGCTTTCTAGGTTTAAAAAAAATACAATACATTTTTTTTCGGTCTAATAGAACATTTAATAACCATTTAAAACCTTTTTCCAAAAAGGGTCAACTAGCCTATTGTGCGAAGCGTTGCTGTAGTTGGAACACTCAACGCTAAGCATTATGTCGCATAATGCGCAATAATGCTGTAAATAGAAAGCAACCAGTGTTATCAATGGTTTTTTGGCGGGATTTCATCGAGTACGGTTGGCGTCTTATTTTAATGATTCTTAAATTCGTTCATAGTGGATATTGTGAAATAAAATTGGTGTGGTTTTGTGTAACAACCGTCTGCGTTACTGAAGAATTAGTGGAATCGTTAAAATATACGTTATTCCGGTCAAGTGGACGTGAGAATTTTATTGTAGTGTTGACTACCTCACAGAAGTTTATCGAAAAAGCCAACTCGATACATTTCGTGCCAAACACTCCAAGAAACATTAGAATGCGTCACACCGACATTCTAATGTAAAAACAAAAAAAGATTAATTTAATTAAAGACTAGGCTGTATGGGCATTGTTTCCTTTGCCTTCCCTAAAACGGGAGAACTTCAACAAAAAAAAAGAAGAAGAACCCAGCTGTCACTGTCAATCAACAAAATACAGTTTCTCACAATATTGTCATGATTGTTTTCTTTTTAGTGTTTTCTAGCAAGTGAAATTATTCGTCTGCTTTTGTGAATATCTATTCATTGTACATACTAAGGACAAATAATATTGTATAACCACTATTATAAAAAGATTTTCTATTCTTACTTTAAAAGTTTTTAATCAAAATAGATGTTAATTTTCAGAATAATTAGCAGTGCATTATTGGTATAATTGATTCATTATAATTCATAGACCTGTTTGACTAAAATCTATTAATTTCCTACACGTAAATATTAATTTATTTTAGCTCCGCGCAGCTAACGCGTCTAACGTTATGGCCACCAACCAGTTATGCAGCAGTGGGGTAATTAAGTATTTGTCACAAGCAGAGGCGACATCGCTAGACCAAGAGCTTTTCAATGAATATAAATTTAGTGTAGATCAACTAATGGAGCTTGCTGGCTTAAGTGTTGCTACAGCAGTAGCTAAGTCATATCCACCAGCAACGTAAGTAATAACTTAAGCAATGGCCAAAGACCATAGTCAGAGTAGAGCGAGATTGTCTTTTCCCTTTAGTCATCATTTTACTTTACATATATGTAATTTTCTCCTGGAACTTTTCTGGATATGCCATTCAGTGCCCTAGCTACTTATTCTCTTCTCGCTCCATCAGTGCCAACACTGCTTACTTATTTTGTTAAAACCTCATGTAAAATATTTTGTAATGTATATAATATTTTTTTTCTTATAGATATGACAAAGCTTTAATTATTTGTGGACCTGGAAATAATGGAGGTGATGGTTTGGTTGCAGCTCGTCATATGGCACTATTTGGTTATAGTGTAGCTGTGTACTATCCTAAACGAACTCCCAAACCTTTATATGAAAATTTGCTAAAGCAGTGTCAGAGATTTGATGTTCAAATAATTGATACATTGCCACAGCCAAAGGACTTAAAAAGTCAATTTAAAGTTTTAGTGGATGCATTATTTGGATTTAGCTTCAAACCACCTGTTAGAGATGAATTGAAGCCTGCGTTAGATGCTTTGATAGATAGTGAACTCCCTGTTTGTAGGTAATTTGATTTTTCAAAATGTTTAATTCGAATGAGAAGACAATATATTTATTTGAACATTTAGTGAGCACAATAAACATTAGGGAAGAGTTTGAGTTTTATGTGCTTTATGAATAAAATACACACAAAGATTTTTATTTTCAGTGTCGATATACCAAGTGGCTGGGATGTGGAGAAAGGCCCTGGTGACGGGCGTGTTCTGCAGCCCTCAATGCTCATTTCATTATCTGCTCCCAAACTATGTGCCAGACCTGAATTGCTTAACAATGCTAGACACTACCTTGGAGGAAGATTTTTACCCCCTGGCATAGTTTCAAAGTATAATTTGACTTTGCCAGCATACCCAGCTCAAGACCAAGTGGTTCAATTATCCTGTTAGTCTCATTTGGTACTAGTCTGCAAAGGTCATTAGGGTTGTAAACTCCAAAAAATATTATTGTAAAATCTATTATATGTAAGGAGTAAAATCTATTATAGGTATCAAAAATGAGAAAGTATTTTTTTTTTAAAGTTTTAAGCATGAAGATTGATTAAGTGAGCTTCTTGTGTAACTAATAAATAGTTTTTTTTATATTTAAAATATTCATTAAAACTGACGGTTACAATACTAATCGGTTATGTTTAAAGTAATAAAATACTTTATTTAGAAGGTTCTCAATCCTATTGATTTTTAGGTTACTGATGTCATTCATGTTACCAGCATCAATGTCAAATTACTATGGAGTTTGACAGTTAAACGCGATAAAAAACGTGTTCCCAACATTTTCCGTTTAAAAAAGTAGGTACTATGCCAAACACCAACCAAAATCCAAATGTATATTTTTTTTAAGATTCTCCCTTTTTAGAGAAGGCAATGGCAATAATAAAACCCATACAGCCTAGTCTTAAGTTAATTTTTTAAGCATTTACATCTTATTTTTTTTACATTACAATGACGATGTAACGCATTCTAATGTTTCTTGGAGTGTTTGGCACGAAATGTATCGAGTTGGGTTTTTCGATAAACTTCTGTGAGGTAGACAAAAAAAAAGTCAACACTAAAATAAAGTCCACTTTACCGGAATAGCGTATATTTTATAGATTCCACTAATTCTTCAGTTGCGCAGAAGGTTGTAACATAAAATTACACTAATTTTATTTCATAATATCCACTACGAACGAATTTATGAATAATTAATATAAGACGCCAAACGCACTCGATGAAATCCTGCCAAAAACTCTCGCAACTCGCGCTTTTGAAAGGTCAATATTAGCAGGCGTAGCGGCGGCGTGCTGTGTACCAACGAATTCTTCCTATCATATTCTAACCCTTACTACTTGGTAATTTTATTTTATAATAAAAATAGTATTTTATTTATTTAATAAATAAATAAAAATAGTAGTTGCCCGCGACTTCGTCTGCATCATAATATTGGTTTTCAATTCAAATTTTCATTCTCTTCTCGCTCTTCAAAGGATCTAGAGGAAAAATTATCATATGCCTTTCCCTCGCGGAACTCAAACTATACCAAAGGAGACTGTTCAAAAGTTAGTAAAAAATCGACTAGATTTTTTTTTACTGTAAGAGACAGAGCTCGTTTTGCCGTCTTCATGTTATTGGTGTCGATACTGGCACGATTCTCTAAATCTAAACTTAAATTTGACAACAGTGTTTCCTTGTCATTCTCGATACAGAATGAAAAAGAGAGACTGATGTTAAATTTAGTTTTAAGTTTAGAGAATTACGCCAAAATCGACACCACTATGTCGTTAGCCCCTGATGTTAAACAAAGCCCAATATGAGATGTAAGTTCTCCTGTAATGTCGGAATACTAGTGCCTGCCTGCGACTTCATCCGTGTTGAATTTAGTTTACTAGCAGTACCTCAGGAACTAAAACAACATTTCATCTAAATCCGTTGAGCCATTTTTGCTTAATTAAGTAACAAACTTTCACATTTATAAATATGATAGGATTTCATCAGATATGTTATTTCCACCGCAGATTTATCTGCGTGCGTACATACCTACTATACTGTACTACTTTTGTGACTTTGTTTATTATTGCAATTCCAACTGTAATATAGTCATTTCATTTAATTAATAATCAAAGTAATATTTAGAAACATAGTTATAATTTTGGGGATTCTACAAAATTATAACTTGCTCAGTGGTGAGCATAGACATAAAACATGGGTCTAAAACTAGGACATCACCTATCGCCTATTTACAGTTTGTCTATAAAGTCGTGACATTAAATGATGGCGCCACTAGTATGCATGTAGCAACCCTATACAGTCTGACCAAAATGATTTTTATACTAGCAGTACATTCAAGTAAAATAGGTAATTAATAAGCACACTATACAGTCGTATTTTGTTTCTGTTTTATATATATTAGGTACCTATGCTTATAAGAATCAGAATAAAATTATTATAGATAAAATAGTACTTTATAGTGTAAAAGTGTGTAATGTTGGTGATTACAGATTACAGCTGAGGTGCCATTGAGACCAGAGCCGTTAGGTAATCATCAATACACACAAGTATCATCATACGACGTTTTTTAACACACTTGTTAAGAAAATATTACTAAAAATCATTTTATAGTATATAAAAAGTTTATTTAGAGAAACAATTTGTAAATGTGCAGTTAGTAAAATTAGTGATAGTTATCTTCACTAAAAGCATCTGGCCATGGTTCTTTATGTTACCATTTTTTTCTGTGGTCGGCCATGCATGTTTTTCCAGAGTTTCAAACTTTCCAGCATTCTTAATACCTTCGTTGACTATCCGACTCTCTGATTTTCCTGAAAAAAAGTAAAGAAATATGTAACGGAGTAGAAATAATAACTTATTGACATGAAGCAATTAATTCAAAATTGGTAGAAAACCTGACGGAGCTGAACCATAATAACTTATCAAAAGAAATGGTCGTACTACAATATTACCTATTTACAATGTCAATCTAACCTAAAAATGTGCAATGTAAACAATGCCTTTTTTGGTCTCAAAATCGTAAATTGAGTAAATTTGTAACTTCAGGCAGATTACAAACAAATAGTACATACCCGTCATAGATGCTGTTCGCCCATAAACATTGTCCAAATCCCACAAAATTCGACCAGCTTGGTAGTCTTCGAAACATCGCTGGAAAACTTTAAAAATCACTTCCCGCGTGCCACTCCGTTTTACTTTACTCATTTTTTATACCTTTCTGCGTAGTTTCGTCTTAATTTATTACAGTTTAATCCAAACAATAAAAAATACAAAAGGAAAACTGTTCCACAGCTGAAACTCGATGACAGCTGATGTACATAAGTTTGATGTTGCTAGACACATGAATAATATTAGTTCCTCAAACATTAATGTCACGACTTTATAGACAAACTGTACTTTACACCTTAATATCATTTATTATATTTCAAAATTATAGTCGATTTGTCAGTATGAATTATAGAGTCTGTCTCTAGATAAAAATATTTAAGAAAACAAACGTCACGTTTTTCGCGCCAATATTTCCCGCTGCTGTGTCAGTTAGGCTGTCAAAATTGTGGTTGCCGGGTTTTTTAGGCTTGCTCCTTCGTCTTGTGTAATTTGTATTAGCAATTGTAATTAAAACATACATTTTATACAAAACCGTAAGTATTTTTTGAATTTCTAGACTAAATATTCTGCATTTGTATCCCTGATAAAATCTGAATAGCATACTAGCTAGAGACCATCTTTTCTTTGTCTTGTTCGAAATGGTAATCTTAGTTTAACATCGGTTTTTAACTATTTCATTTAATACTTTTGAATGGTCGGCTGATATAGCAGCAAATAACGTTATAAAACGTAAGTAGCTTAGATGAATTTAATCTTAAGATACTATATAATAAAAACTATCATCCAGAAAGTGGTGAACGTGGCCACGTACAAAGATTTCTCTATTTTGTAGCGGATTTTAACTAATTAAGTACATAATTGTCTAATAGTATAAAGTAGCGACACGAAATAGGTACTTAACCTTTATTTTCGAAATTTCAGAAAATGTTTGAAGCAAGGCTCCTTCGCAGTTCAATCCTTAAAAAAGTGTTAGAAGCAATTAAAGATCTTTTAACACAGGCTACATTCGATTGTGATGACAGTGGAATTCAGCTACAGGTAACTAAATAAATTTTTAGATTCACTTTTAGACCTTAATTAGTCATAAATAATTGTCAACTAACCTAACCAACATAATTAATGTTTCAGGCTATGGACAACTCCCATGTGTCACTGGTTTCACTCACCCTGCGTGCTGATGGTTTTGATAAGTACAGATGCGACCGGAACATTTCAATGGGCATGAATTTAGGGAGGTTAGTTTATCATTAATGTGAAACGAAATATCAAAAACTTTTGTCATAGTCTAAAATTTTCTATTACTTTTCATATTTAACTGTCATATTTCTTCCAGTATGTCCAAAATCTTAAAGTGTGCTGGGGATAAAGATACAGTGACAATGAAAGCCCAAGATAATGCAGATACAGTGACATTTGTTTTTGAAAGTCCTAATCAAGAAAAAGTGTCGGATTATGAAATGAAGCTCATGAATTTGGATCTAGAGCATTTAGGTAATTTCTAACTTGTGAGAATATAGAACTTGCTTTTTTTTGATATAATATGGAATGGTTATTCTTATAATCACAACTTATCAACAGGTATTCCAGAGACTGAGTACAGTTGCACAATACGTCTACCCAGTGCCGAGTTTGCTAGAATCTGCCGTGATCTCTCACAATTTGGAGAGTCCATGGTCATTTCATGCACAAAAGAAGGTAGGTTAAGGAAAATTTCAAAAAAATGTGTAAAAAACATTGTGTATGTAAATAGCATACTTTCTCTCAGTCTAGCAATATAATGTGTTCAGCATGTTGCACTAAAGTGATGATAGACAAATTGTATCTTGAGATTTATTATCTGCTTGGTATTGTATTACTTTTTAAGTATATAAAAAAATCCTAGGTGTCAAGTTCTCTGCGAGTGGAGATATTGGATCAGCCAACATCAAGCTGGCCCAGACGGCATCCATAGACAAAGACGAAGAGGCTGTTGTCATAGAAATGGATGAACCTGTAACCCTCACATTTGCCTGCCAGTATCTCAATTACTTCACAAAAGCCACATCATTAAGTCCACAGGTATTTATTTGGAGCAGTTATGATAGTCAATATCTTTGTTATTCTCTTAAAATACATCAGAATGTTTTTAATTAGTCCTTTTATTTGTTATTAATTATTATACTATATTTTTTTAAGATGGATGGCCCTCATTACAAAATACCCTATTTTGTCAATATTTGATATATTATACCTTTCTTTCTGCTGTTTTCTTGAAATATTATACTATACTGGAAGTTAAAATTGCATTTATTTATTATTTCACAGGTCCAATTATCAATGTCAGCTGATGTGCCACTGGTAGTAGAGTACCGCATCCAAGATATCGGACATATTCGCTACTACTTGGCACCTAAAATTGAAGAGGATGATAGTTGAATAGAAGACTAATTATTTAAGTTGCGGTCAATTAAGAATCTTTTTTGCACTCCTAATACACTGTGTGTATTGTGAAAAAAAATACAAGAATTATGTAACAAGCTAAATAAACAACTTTTTTTATAAATTACACATTTTTGTTTCAATAAAATAAAATTCATATTTTTAAGGTGTTTATTCATTCCACATTTAGGTACATTATACAATAGTAAAAAATTATCATGTCTCACATGAGTATTAAAAGAGGCCAAAATAAAAATTAGGTATACACTTCTAAACAAATGGAATGATAACTTAAAATTAAGACAATTAGGTCCAGGGCCTTTGAAAATCTTGAAAAGTGGAAAATATTCGGAACAGGATGACACCCACACCAAAAGGAAGAGAACACAAAAAGAGGAAAAACTCATTACAGGCGATTTGAGGTCGGCTAGAGGAATTTTATTTAGTGTTCTTTTTAAATAGAAAACCACGTCGGTTATTTTCATTTTTCGCAGTAGATTATGTGAATAAAGTGTGATACAAGTTTAAGATCCTTTAAATATATACATTTATGCCATTGAAATATTTTCTAAGAGTTGTATATTCCTAAAAATCGCGATTAAGCGTTTCCTCTTCTTCAAGGTCGAGAAACGTGACGGCGCATTTGCATTTTCTGAGAAAATTTTCCATTATAAATTATATTTTTTGTATACCATCAGAAAGTAGAAGTTTCAAAGAACAAAAACCGTATTTACTTTTCTTTATAAGCAACTGTTTTGACGGAAGCTTATTCGGTTAAAAATACGGTTATTTTTTCGATATCAATATAAGGGGAATAAATAAATAATAGAAGACATTTGAGCGTGTTTGGGACATAAGAAGGTAAGTTTCCACTGTTAAAAAAGAAGCTTTTATTAAAGAGATAAAAACCTACTGGACATTGGCGAAATTTCTGTGTAAAACGGAGAACGCCACAGAAAGAAGAAAAAAAGAGATAAAAAAACGACGGGTTGCACTCCGAGAGTGCCGGCAGAAGTGAAAACTTGAATATTAACATTGTGCATTTTTGATATTTTGGAATGGTTAGAGAATAATTTTGCAAGAATTGCTTTAATTATCAGTATAAAAGTAGTATCATTTATGTGGTAGAATACAATATATATATATATATCGTACACAAACATGACAATTTATATTACATTAAAAAGTTTATCTCTTAGAAAAATCAACTTACATGAATCACTTTTAAGCGCACCTAGCGACGTCTATTGTAAAAAAATGCATTTTCATCGCAATAAAGCTGCCGCCTGGACGTCCTAATTCGAGACATGTTTCGTCCAATATATTGAAAGTCAACAACCTTTCCAATTTTATTGTCTTCGTCTTACGAACAGTTTTTACCCATTACAAAAAAAGTGTACAACGCCGCTATAGAAGTTTTCACTTCAAAAGAAATCTGATATTTTAATGTTTTGCAGATATTTTTTAGGTTATGTAAAAAATTTTGTTAATGTAAAAGTTATATGTTGTGACAAGGATCTTTATGAATGTAGCGAAAATTGGAACTAACGCCGCGCGCGTACGTCTGTACGTCTTTTACGTGGATAGTGGCGCCCTCCCTGAACTGCCACTCACATTCATAAAGATCCTTTAATTATCTACAACTTTGGCATTAAAAAAATCGATAAGAGTTGTAGTTTCCCGAAAATCGCGATAACTCTTCCCGATCTCAAATCACCCGTAATTTATTTTCCCCTTTTTTATGTGTTCTTTTCTTTTTAGAATGTGTATCTATAGCTGTTCCGAATTGTTTTGTTTTCAAAACTTATCGACTCTGGCCTAAATGTTAACGTTCACTGTAATTTGTACGTATTAGATATAAAGATGAGTTTAAATAAAAACTTGACATCAGAACTACGATATTGCAAGCTTACATTTTGAAACAACATTAACCTTATTAAGTCGACAATTTAATTTTACACTTATTTACATACTAGGTTTAACCACCCAATATCTAAGCATAAAATGAAATTTGCACAGAAGAATAATTTAAATCACATATTTTAATTATATTATGACGTAGATAAATCGTGATACACAATAAAACATCACTAGAAACTAGAGTATCTAACGAAAAAGTTGACAATAAAAGTAAGAAAGGAGGGTAGAGCAGGAATGCAAGTGAACGAACCTTACTCGACACCGCTACATTTTTCGACACGAACGAATGAAGTGAACAAATGAACGTGAACCTAAATGGAGTGTAGCGAGTCGTGATTGGGGGCGTTTCACTGTTTCCACTTCTTGGCCGAGAAGAGCACAGCTCGCTGCTTAAGGAAGAGCGAGTAGCTCTGCTTGCGAGGGATGTTGGTGTCCGTCGGCTTCTTCTTCTCGTTGGCGCGGCGGTTGGCATCAACCATTGCGTTTAAGTACGCCGATCTACGGCCGCGCCCTCTTCCTGTAAACATAGGATGTAGTTTTTAAAGTGATAACTTCTTATGGGTGGGTAAACCGCTTCTTTACGTAACGCGTTACGGCGCCAATCTGTCTGGCTTTCCTTCCTCTCAAGTATACGGCAGCGGTAGGCCGGCTTCTTTCTCACTCTTACCCGCAGCGCCGATTAGATTAGTTTAAATTATTTATTATATTACACGCTTGTTGAAGTGAAACTTCATTACGCACGCTTGACATGGGGGGAAATCTGGCGAAAGCGTTACACGTTACGAAAAGTGTGTTCAGGAGAGGCGTGGAGTTGAGTGGGGGATATAGCAAAAGAAAGCAGTGCGCGCGCATATTTTCTATGGCGGTTGCTTACTATCACACGGGCCATAATGTTTGTTTTCTACCTTTTTTACAGGACAAATATTACACAAAAAACTCACTTCGGTACGCGTTAGCTGGTACTTTGAACTATCACACTACCCATCCTCACCTTGTCGGCCAGCACATTTGCTTCTTCATAACTCTTTTGAAGGACTGTGGATTGAAGTCATCACTAATCTATAATTACCGCGTCCGTGTCCTCAGGACTCGCGTTTCATCTCCAAGGGTACATACTGGCTTTGTCACCGGGGCTAATAATCCGTAGGCCTATTCGCTAACGATTCTTAACACATGGAAGTGATAATAGTACCTACCTTTAATATATATCCGTTAAGATACTTGTCCTAAAAAGCATCGATAGATAATGTAATTTGCTCTTTAGTTACAAGAAGTTTCCGAGTTCAAGTTTACGAACTTTTTGCGCCTATTATGGGCGTGCAGCGTCGCAGCAAATTAGACCCTATTACAACTCAGCATAAGGTTTAACCGTGTGGTTACATACCTGTTACCCCCTCCGCGTCCTTAGGACTCGCGCTTCACCTCCGAGGGTCCTGGCTCCCCTTCATCACCTGTATAAGTGGCCCTAGTCGCAGTAGATTCGACTCTATTATAACCAGCCTAAGGGTTATAATTGTGTGGTTACCTGCTCCCCCTCCGCGTCCTCAGGACTGACGCTTCACCTCCGAGGGTCCTGGCTCCTTTTCATCACCTCAATAAGTAGCCCTAGTCGCAGTAGATTCGACTCTACTATAACCAGCCTAAGAGATATAATCGAGTGATTACCTGCTCCCCCTCCGCGTCCTCAGGACTGACGCTTCACCTCCGAGGGTCCTAGCTCCTTTTCATCACCTCAATAAGTAGCCCTAGTCGCAGTAGATTCGACTCTACTATAACCAGCCTAAGAGATATAATCGAGTGATTACCTGCTCCCCCTCCGCGTCCTCAGGACTCTCGCTTCACCTGCGAGGGTCCTGGCTCCCCTTCATCACCTCTATAAGTGGCCCTAGTCGCAGTAGATTCGACTCTATTATAACCAGCCTAAGGGATATAATTGTGTGGTTACCTGCTCCCCCTCCGCGTCCTCAGGACTCGCGCTTCACCTCCGAGGGTCCTGGCTCCTCGTCATCACCATCCACGGCTGCTGGACTGATGATCTGGTCGTGCAATGTTCGCAGATGCCGCAGTAGGTTAGACTTCACGTTGAAACCTTTGTTGCATAGCCCGCATACAAACGGTCTTTCACCTACAATACATAACAAGGATCAGTGGCGGTCTTAGGGGGTGGCGAACAGGGCAATCGCTCGGGGCCTCGCTCCTACAGGGGCCTCGCGCAACAACCCAAGCAAATTTTAAAAATATAAACAAAAAAACTATTTTTTCAATGACACAAGATCGGCTTTCAGCCCTCGCTATTCTTTCAATCGAAAATGACGTAGCTTATTCGCTAGATTATTGTGCTTTAATTAAAGATTTTAGTCTTAGGAAAAGCCGCAAACATCAATTTTAAAATTTATCATCTCTGTATTTGTTAATTTTGTGAATCTTTCAATGTACATTATTTTAAAATTCAAATTTGATTTATTTGTATAATTTAAGCATTTTTCCTTAAACATGACAAATACCTAAACCAAACAACCAGACCTACTTTCACATCACATACTTTTCACGAAGGACAAAGGGCCTCGCAAAGACCTGCCGCCCGGAGCCTCGCAATCGGTAAGGCCGCCTCTGACAAGGATAACAACTTAACGAAGCGGAGGTTGTTGTGTGAAGTGTGTCTGTACGTTGCGTCCTCAAGCCTCAACTGCTGGACCGATTAAGATGGAATTTGGCATAGAGATAGGTAGTTTGAGACCCGAGAATGATGAATTTGGTATAATTTTTTTCGCATAATAGTTTTTATCCCTGATATCATCGTATAAGGGGGTGAAATGGAGGGAGGTTGTTTGTATGGGAAACAATTTTAGTCTATGTACTAAAGGATAAAAACAAACTTAGTAACCTAATCATGATGACATTACTTGGAAACTAATATTTGGGATCATCACAAAAAATTACCCGATTAGGATTCGAACTTAGGACTTTAGAAGTATTCAATAGATTCAAAGATTACTTCCTACACACAACTATACACCCCTTATTAATAAACAAGGAGTAAAGTAAGACTAGTTACGTCGTGTTTTATTCATTTGTAATCAATTGAATGATGAACGAGGAGCCCGATAGCGCAGGTGGTTAGCGCGTTCGGCTGCGATCGTTGAAGTTAAGCAACTTTCGCAGTGGTCGGTCATTGGATGGGTGACCAAAAATCTTCCATCTCGAGTTTCTCCGTGCTTCGAAAGGCACGTAAAGCCGGTGGTCCCGGCTGCATCTGCAGTCGTTAGCACCCGCCAATCCACACTGGGCCCGCGTGGTGGGTCATGGCCCAATCTCCCTATTCCATCCCTAGGGAAGGCCTGTGCCCCAGCAGTGGGGACATTAATAGGCTGATGATGAATCAATGAACAGAGACAAACATAGAGTAACTAATCCAAGCTTAGTCTACATTTATTAATAAAGGGGACATAGAATAGCTGTTTATAACATTAGTAAGTATACAGAATTCTTACCTGTGTGTGTACGCATGTGTATGAGCATAGAGGCATGCGACGGGAATGTCTTCTTGCAGTGATTGCAAGTCTTGTTTTGCGCGCCCTCTGTGAAACGATTGTGACGTTTTGGTGGGGCACTGTTGTTTGATAAGGCCAATTCTAGACAATCGACATCGAACGACTTTAGAAAAGAGTTCACTCGCAACACTTACTAAGGACAATCACAGAACGGAAATGCTTTGTTTTTTTTTAATTTTCTCTATTACAGATTTTAATTATCCACGAAAAGAATAAAGCCAAAGTGGGTTTTTTTTTTCAGTGCAACGCGTTAATTTTGAGTAGCAAAAGTGGCAAACAAAGCATTCGAACGACAATAATTGAGAACATAACTGAAGTGATTATCATGAGTGTAGCGGAATCTGTGTAAAATCAAAAAGTAAAAAAACTTAGAAACGCGGCATTGAAAAATAATAATAATAAACAAAGAAGCTTTTCATTTTGCGCAAATATAAAAAAAGCACCGATAATAACTATTATAATTAAAATAATTGTGACTCGATGTTCGTATGTCGAGAATTAGCCACATACATAACAATCAGGTTTCAGCTATGTTAGTAATATTAGGGTTACTATAATAAGAACATTCCACCACATGTCAAAAAATACAACATAAATAAGTACATTTGATAAGTTATTGTTAGTGATATTTAGCTTAGTACATAGTTAGAGGTAGGTATGAAAATAGAATTTTAGAAAAAGTATTAGTATCATTTTTAATTCATTGTATTAGTAAAAATAAAATTAGCCCTATTCATTAAGTTTCAAAGACATGATTAAAGTTTAGTATAGTCGAAAGTTTTAGTTAATTAGTAAGTATTTTTCCCTTGTTCTGTTGTTTACCTAAGAGCAGTCGCTTCTTCAATATACCAGCAATAGGACAACTTCCTATAATATACAAAAACGAAATTGACATGTTTTCATCAACCGACTGCTCTGCCGAGCGACCACGGAGCCTGAAAAGGATCCGAAACGTCAAAAACATTGTAATTATTTTTTGGTATTCTATTCGTCTACACAGGACCCGGATTTAGAGGTGTCAGGGTGTGACAGAGGCAAGGGAGGAGTGGTGGCCCAGGGGGCCATACGCCTAACGGAAATGCTGTGAAAAACGCTAACGCTTCCGATTTTTTTATTTCTTGCCGTCTGAGGTTTTCAAATGCCTCGCGCTTTATTATTTTCTTTTGCATTGGTAATAACAATATTAAAAAAAATGAGCGTGAGGTATTTGAAAACCTTCGGCGGTCAGAAATAACAAAATAAAATGGAAAGCGTTAGTGTTTTCCAAAGCATTTCCGTTAGGCGAATGGCCCACAGGTGCGTATATTCTTTGCTTATATATATAGCTTTGCTAGCTTTGATATATCCTTTAATAATTATTTTTTCTTACATGTGATTTTTACTTTAAATGCGGGAAAAGGTTGTTTGGAAGTTTTTAAATGTTGTCGAAATATTGTGGAGACCCCTGGGCAGTAGCCGCGCTTGCTCTGGCTTAAATCCCGCCCTGCATCTATTGCATATGTGAAATCTATAAGATCTGTGAAAAGTGCTTTAAACTTATTTGAGAGTTTGTCAAACGAGGCTACCGTTCACATATTATGATAAAGACACCTGCCGCGCAGGAGAATATGTTAACAGTAAACACTATTTTTTATATTGTAGGTATACATACATCTATAATGACATTCTATTCTATATTATTATTATTCTATTCTATATTAGAAAATATTAAGTCTGGTTAATATTTTCTAGAATGTCATTCACAAGGAAAAAATGGCTTCAGATATTTGATATCACATTATCACGCTAATATTATTACGGCGAAAGTTTGTGAGTGTATATGTTTGTTACTTCTTCACGTCTAAGCGGCAGGAGCGATTTTAATAAAATTTGGTATGAAGTTACCTGACACCCTGAATTAACACATAGGCTACGTTTTACTGCGGGAAACATCCCTAATAAACCGCGGGTAACACCGCGGGGCACAGCTAGTACATCTATAATGACATTCTAGAAAATATTAAGGCTGGCAAAATATTTGACTTCAAATATCTAAAGCCAATTTTTCCTTATGAAAAGATTGATTTAAATACTATCATCTATCTATATACGTCTATATATATATACATAACTATCAGTCTCTGTATCTATAGATGACGGCGAACTCAAGCCTTCGCATTTATAAACAAATAAAAAACTACTTCTACTTAAGTAAGACTTAAGCAACATTTTTCATTTCATACAACTTAAGAAATTGGTCAAAGTAATAACTGTCAAAAATGAGATTTCTTTTTACTCGTGCCATTAAAGATACGAATCGTAACGGCATTTTTCGTTTCTTTAAGGGCACGACCGATGACGACAACGACAAGACATTTTTTCTCTCTCCCGCACGTTAGTTAGGACAGCATGTGCGAAAGGGACAGAATGTCTTACGGTGTCATTGCCATCATTTGCGATTCGTTATTTTATTGGCGCGAGTTATAACCAAGTAATAGTCACCACTTCGTTGCTAAGTGAAGTTTTATTGAAGAATTCTACTGTGAAATAATGATTCATGACTTAGCAAGTAATGAATTATTTGTTTATAAATACGAGTAAGGCAACGCGAGTTATTTTATTAGAAACACTAGCACATGAATATCGCTCGTAATGCCACAAATGAAAGTGCTGTATTATTTTCCATAATTTGACGTGCATCAAATTGTCTCCACAAACGTGACTTTGGTTGCACGTTAGCAAAGTGTCTTAGCTTTCACCTTTGATTATACACGCCTAGATACCGTATTAATTAATATAAATATCTACTACATATAATCTTAGATTAAAACAAAAAGGGAAGATACACACATAATATGATCCGACTCAACTACATAAGTAACTCTCACACGCGCACACTTCTTAAACATTCAATCGAGCGAGCGAGACAGTGTACGCTTCAATGCAGCGCGAGTCCGCGTCGCTTTGCAGCTGTCTGGATTTTCTTTTCTCCCTCTACAGACAGCTGAGTTGTATTGTTGTCCTTTTCTTGATAAAAATGGCGAATCAGTAACTAACATTCATGGCAAACCGTGATTTTTGATAAAAAAATGTTTTTATAGTTTTAAGAATAAAAAGTTTTGCCGTGGCATTTGTTATTTGATTTTGAACTATTTGTGTTCTTTATAAAAGCATCGAAGACGTTGTTTTATCTTTATAACACAGAATATAACACAAAATGTTATATTGAGTGCACATGCGTCGTGTTTGGATGTCCAGTTGTGACTAAAGCGAATTGTGGTCAAGCACCACAATTTAAGCGGATCACTTTTGAGCCGCGAGTGCCGTATCTTCCCTTTTTGTTTTAATCTAAGCATTTAATCGATATCGTCTCGACTCGTCGCCACACACGCACACATTGACTGCTTTCAAACAATCTGACATTAGCGTGACGCATACATTGCGCGTAACCGTATTCTTTGCGTAGTTTATTTAGATTGCTCTGCCTAGGTGTGTATATAATCAAAGTGTTGTGGACTGTATGATGCTTTTTGATTGAAACTCGATTTTTTCTTCCTTGGTAGTTTATTTTTCTTCTTATTTATTACAATTTTTGCTGTTCTGGATCGCATGAAAAAATGACAAAATGACCCTACTTATATCTAAGATTATGAGTACGCAGTTAGCGCTAAGTCAGAGCGGTAGTTGACCTATCCCGTGCGTTTCCCCCCGCGCCCCGCCGTAGTTGCGTCGTCGGTTGCTCGCAGTTCGCGCTAGGTCGGAACGGTAGTCGGCCAGTCGTGTGAGCTTCTTCTGAGCTGTGGTCGCGTCGTCCTTGACAACTCTCCCCCCGGCGCAGACTCGTCGTAGCCTTCCTTGATGCGAGGACGACGATCTTGGTGGTGGGGCGTCGCAGCACTCCTCCTCTGGTGCGGACGTCGGCGCAGCGTACTCGTCCATCGGGTCCGGGGTAGACGGCGATGATCTCCCCGCGGGGCCACACGTTGCGTGGCATGGCAGGATCGGCGATGATGACCAGGTCCCCCGTGTGCAGCTGGTCTTCTCCTGGAGTGGCGGCGGCTTGGCGGGGCGCGAGTGTAGGCAGGTACTCGCGCACCCACCGGGTCCAGAAGGCGTCGGCGAGTGCCTGGCTGGCGCGCCAGACGCGGCGGTCGGCCGGGTCGCAAGGCCCGGTGTGCGGTAGGCCTGCTGAACTCCCCAGCAGGAAGTGGTTCGGCGTGAGTGCCTCCGGATCGCTAGGATCGACGGAGACGTGTGTGAGAGGCCGCGAGTTTATGGTATACTCGGCCTCTGTCAGCAGCGTTTGGAGCACCTCTTCCTTTGGCGCTCGTTCGTGGAGCACGGCGGCGAGTGCAGTCTTGACGGAGCGCACCAGTCGCTCCCAGGCTCCCCCCATGTTCGGCGCCCCTGGTGGGATGAAGCGCCATGTCATGCGGTGCTGTTGTCCCAGGTCTTCCAAAGCGGGCTTCCATTCCTCGTAGGCGGCACGGAGTTCGACGTCGGATCCCCTGAAGTTGGTCGCGTTGTCGCTCATCATTTCTCGCGGCCATCCTCGTCGGGCTGCCATCCGACGCAGGGCTAGGAGTGCAGAGTCCGTCGACAGGGATGCCACCAGCTCGATGTGCACGGCGCGCGTCGTCATGCAGGTAAAAAGGGCCCCCCATCTCTTCTCGTGTCTTCTTCCGATTTTCACCATCATCGGCCCGAAATAGTCGACGCCGCAATAGGTGAACGGCCGATGAAACGCGTCGACTCGTGCTCGTGGTAGATCGCCGAAAATTGGTGTTTGCGGCCTTGTTTTCCTTAGTTTGCACCATTCACGTTCTCTTGCGACGGCGCGTACGGCGGCTCGTAGACTTAGAATCCAGAAGCGTTGGCGTAGGTTGTTCACCACGGTTTCTCGATTGCCGTGGTGCGCTGCGTGGTGTTCCCTCTTGATCAACAGGCGAGTGTAGGGATGCCTTCCGTCCAATATCGTGGGCTCCTTGGTTTCGATGGGGACATCGGCGGCGCGGATGCGCCCGTTCACGTGCAGCGTGCCGTTCTTCAGGATGGGGTCCAGTTTGTACAGACGACTGGACTTGGGGATTGCTCTTCCTTCT